CTGGAACATCTAGAGCACTTGAATAGGTGTCACCCCTGATGATCATTCTTGGCAGATGGAAAGCACAGATGACTGAGGATTATTGAAGTTGAATGGCATCTGGTGAGTTTGAGACTATGCAAGAGCTACTGTACTCCTATGATGTCACCAAACAGAGCACAGCAGCACCAGCTCTAGTCTAAACCACCAGAAACTAATGGGTAGAGGCTGGATGTGCCACTGGTGAGTGATTCCCACTAGTCAGAGTTGTCTCCATGGCAGGCAAAACAGTGGGCACTCTTAAGTGAAGGCTGTGACCCATTGGGTGAGGCATCTTTCAGGACTGAAACTCAAGAGCAGCTCCTGATACCTATGGTTGTGCAGGGCTCTATGTCGAGCCACCTTGAGTAGCTCAACATCATGAACAAGGACAGTTCATTGGAGTGAGGAATCCCTGTCAGTGGCTTTCATCTAGAATAAAAAACAATGGTGGCATATCCTCCCGGCATCCATCGGAAATATAAGAAAGAAAAATATTGTGGTCCAGCACACAGGTTTATATGAAGCTAAGAAGATCATCCCTTCACTGTTTAATATGATGGCAAGAGATGATCTGGGCGATTCTATAAAATGTTTCAAGTAGGCTACTGCTAGGAATGGATAAACTCAGGAACAGGCTGTGCAATGCCTAGTTCTGAGGTTAGACGGTCCGACACTTGATGCTAGTGAATATTTGGATAAGTGTATGAATTGCTTTGTTGATTCGACACAGTAGAAAATTGTAAAGTCTATTGGGCCAAGTTAAAAACTCAGAAGAGGATCAGTACCAAGGTACAGGCCACTTTCGTGGATGGTTTGTACCAATTGCATGGGAAAATATACGTGGCATTGGCCTCTGCAAATCAAAACGTTATCCTAGTTAATAATCTCATTGAGGAACTTCTCAATAAACTTATGCAATAACACCCATAGCAAGACAATTTGAAGTGTTCACTTCATTCAAACTAGCCATTCGAGAGGAAGAACCTGTAGCACCAACTGTAGTGGCAATTGCATTAGTGGATGTTATGATCCAGGTACCTCTACTTTGTCAGGCTAGATTCAACAAACGGTATAACAACCAGTCCCAACAACAGGACAGAAATACAAAGCAATACAAGTGAGAAGGCAGGTCTGTTCATGGGGTATACAATGCAGCAAGGTCTTTCCCTGAGGGTTGCACCGCAGCCAGACATCACCCAGGACAAGAAGAGGAATGCATCTGGATCACTTGGGAACTTATGACGCACTGGTGGAGGAACTTACCATACTTTGCCACACAGCAAAGACAGTAGAACTACTTGTATTAGCTGATGGCCCAACAAATCCATAATTTTATTACTTTGCTGAGCAGTAAAGGCAAGGGTATAAGTTTCAGTCATTGGATCAGTAGGTCCATAATGACAAGCAACAAACATTGCAAGCTGTGGCAACTGCTCTGAAAAGTTGACAGAATCCAATTTGGGCTTGGACACATAAATACTATTGCTCTGTAGTTTGTTTTACCAGAAATCACAATTAGTACATAATGTAATCCAGGAAGATGCAAACACTGTCCTATAGTGTTCTTTCCTTTTCTTCTTCAATTTATCTTCACAGCATAAGTATACCAAACCTTCTCTCTACAGGTTGATCTCCACTCCACTATACAGGTTTGCTATTTTCTTCAAAGCATACCTATTGCTGTTTCTCAAGTGAATTCAAGCTTAAAAATACTCTATGGAAGAACTCCTAATATATGTTGAAATTAAAATCAAAACATTGTTGCGTCAGCGAGGTCAC